GTTTCACTTTTCAGACTGTTGCCACGAAATATTATTGCCCCGTATTATATTTGAAGAAATTAAATAATGAAGTATCTGTATAAATATATGTATGTTTCTCGCATTGTGATAAAACATCGGTACCTAGAGCTATCGAATTTTGAATAACGTAACCCACCACCAAATGTGGGTATCTGGAAGCCCTAATTTGGAATTAGTTTTATTATCAGTTTCATATTTTGTATAACTTTAAAGAATTTTTGATTAACAAACTCAAGGATTTCAAAGCGAGCAATGACAACGTTGTATAGAAAAAACATTTTGATTTCCAGCGCGTGAGACTGTGTATCGGAAATTCTAAAGATATGCTCAATTTAAAATTATTTTGCGCTATTGCTCTTCAACTGAATTTTATGGTTTAAGTGCGAATAATTGTAAGGTTTTAAGTTAAACTACCAAATTTCTTTTTATTTTTAAGTTACCCTTTCCTGTAAACTCTTATTTCAACTTCCCTTCAGAATGAGCGCACGGTTCAGCTTTATGCTAATTTTTTGTTGGAGCCAAGTTTTGTATTTAAGGTTAGTGAGAAACTTCTCAAGTGTGTTATCGCTCATCACGTGACATTGGTCACACATCCTGCATCTGCTATCCTGTCTCCACGAGAACTACGTTCGGCATTTCCTTACCTGCAGCGCTCTTAGAAGCACCAAGGTTCGATAGCCGGAACACAACCTGCAATTTCGCAGATTAATCGCGGCAAATAAAGCAAGTTGGAGTTGGAGTTCTCAAGTGTGAGAGAGCTTTAATGTCAGACCACGTCGGCTCGGTGGACGTTCGCCAGAATAGTTAGTATTTAATTCTTACGCCTTAGTACTGTTTCTCAAATACTGATGGAAGTGATTTAAGTGCGTTAGTGCTTAGCAAAGGCTTGCTACGCAACACAAATAGGCAAATCTCGCGTTTAAGCTCTGTGACAGCAACTATTTAAATGTCTACTGAAGTTTTACTTTTAAATTGCTTAATTGTTCAAGACCCAAGCGCGATTATTATTTCTTCTGTTATCACTCCCGAGTTGGGAGTTGCTGTAAATAGTGATTTCAATAAAAAGGGTCTTTTACACCCTTCTTACGTTGTAATTCTTCTAGCACTCTTAAGAACATAGCTGCATTCAGCTCACTGTTCGAGTCAGGACATTGATACTAGCACCTTTATGTTTGCCAAAAGTATGCACAGAACATTAAGTCCTGATAGAATATAATATTGAATAAAAAAAAGTAACACACAAAATGTTAAAAAAACGCCCCTTTGGACGTAATTTAAAATCTGAAACCTTTCAGACTTTCTTTTTTTATTTTTAAAATTGAATTTTATTTCGCTCAATTAAAATTTAGGTTTTTTTTATTTTATTTTATTTTTATTTTATGTTTATGTTAAAATTTGAAGACATTATTTGTCCGTATCATGTTTAAAACAATCGATCGCCCCGCCACTTGTGAAATAAGTGCCGGTATCAAGTTTCTGAATGCGAGAAGTTTTCGAATATTTGGAAATTCATCAGCGGATAAGCGAAATTTACGGAGAGAATGCGATGAGTGAAGGTATGGTGTGAAAAATTGTTAAGATTTTCTTTAACGTAATGTCCACGACGATGAGCGCAGTGAACGCCCGTCGTTGATCATCGAAGAATTGGTGAGCTGCTTCGACGAAAAAGTTTGTTCAAATAGGCGATACCGATATCTAATTTGTCAATGCATTTTCAAGACATTTCACGAATACCTTACATGACATTGTGACCTTACACGACATTTTCATTACAAAAAATTCAAATTCCGAAATCACTAATGGACTTTCGGAAATGGAAACGGATGGGGGCAGCCTTGAAGATTTTGACAATAGAAGAAAGACTTTTTTGAAAAGAATTGTCACAGGCTCGGAAACATGGGTTTTTTGGACACTTGAAATGAAATGATAATCACTGGAATGGCGGAATACTTCTTTTAGTCCGAACCTACCTCTACCCAACATCTATCTGGTTTCTTTTGGCGACCAACACTTTGCAAATGATGATGGGATCAAGGTAAGCGTTCAGAACTGGTTCAGGTTGCAGACAGCATATTCTAGTGCAACATACTCGCTTGCCTGACACATTGCCTTAACGACAATGCCCGCGATGAGACACATGTCTTAATTCGCATGTTGAATATTATAAGGTATATTCTCCCTCCTTCCAGCATGCCTTCGTGGTGTAATGGTAGCACACTCGATACGCATTCGAGAAGTCTAGGTTCGAGTTCAAAAGAGGGCATTGCTCATTTTTCACATCTCCTGCTTCAGAAATTCTAATGTTGAAAAGTAGTTTAAGGTGTACAGAGTTTCTGTAATAAAATACAAATGAAAAGAAATTGCTAATCATTTTTAATACCCAAACGGTGCTTACTTTCTGAATGAGCTTAGTAATTACTACAGTAAAGACATAGCTACCATCGTCTCAAATTCATGTGCACCATAAAAGTGGAAGTAGAAGACAGCTATTATATTAATATACAATGAGTTTTCAAATTTAAACACAGAGATTAAGAAATAGAAATGAATGTAGAAGATTATAACAAGCCTCAGTGAACTGGAATGTCTTTCCGTGTGGTTATGTTACAAATCCGTAAATTTGTGGCTACGAAATATCGTAAATATACATCCGTGATATCTGTGACATGCGATATAGGAATAACATAATTTTCGATTAAGAATGAATATATATACATATATATATATATATACAAAATAGGAAAAATAAACAGAGAAAGGAGTATGTATGCTGAAAATATAAATAAGTTAAATGAAATCCAAATAAAAGAATTAGAAAAAGTGCCCTAAGAAAGTTATTCAAATACAGTGTAAATAATAAGCGAATATGAAGAAACACAAAGGTCAGAAAAATAAGTTTAAACATATATCTACTTTGTAAGGATTATGTTAATTTTTCTAACAGTTAAATTTTGAGTTAGACTTCCTTCCCTTTCGCTTCTTAATTTCAACTTACAACTTCAGGTCAGAACGTACTTTTAGAATCGCGTTTGAATGCAAATTCGAGGAGAAGTATTTAACCGCGAAGTTCTACTGTCTTCGTTAGAGAGAACCAGTGATTCGGGCTATAACGCGTCCGCCTTTTTAGGCTACTCTCTCTTAAGCTATTATTACACTCGGCCGTACTTTAGGCCCATGATAGCTTCGCTGTTATTCAGCTTTAAGGGGCCAACTCGGTTAGAATCTTGATAGCTTCCGCTGTATCTTTATATCTTTTTAGTTAAGAGTAGTTAAGTTAATTTCTTAGTTTTTGAGTTCAAGCCCGAGTGGCGGCTTTATTGTAAAACTCCAAGACGGAGTTCTATTAAACTTTCATTTGGAATAATAAAGGGTCTTTAACCCTTTTCAAATCTTACTCATTGTCTCAAGAACTCAAGCGATTATTCGCTTACTAGTTCTTAAGATTCCCTAAATTCAACTGTAACTCAAAAGTACACAGTACAGAATCTTACAACTTCATAAACTTTACTCGTATTTTAAAGCCCATAGCTAATTTTACCAATTTGACCATATTTAATTCTATTATTAAATTCTTTATTTTTAAGGATCGCGAGATATAATCATTATAACCAAACTGGCAATAATTAATTATTGTGAGAAAAGCATACACACGAGCATTTAGGTTTCTGGTTTACAGGCCATTGTTTGTCTGTACACTTTAGGTAAAATGGCATATAGCAAATAAAATCTATCAAATATAACAGTCAGATTTCAGATATGGTTTTTAGTGTGATATCAGTTTTGGGTAGGATAATCAATCACTTTTTTTAAAAAAATCTGTAACAACTTTTCTTTAGAGTTTACTAACAATTATATTTGAATTAAAACCTATCCTGTCTTTCTCGGCTTATTTCCCCATATTCGCTCACACCACTAAGTTATGCAATTTCAGTGATATGTGGTGTAGTTTAAAGATAGCTGTTTAATAAGTGCGGGTATCAAGTTTCGTAGCCAAAGACATATGCAAGCGTTCGCCGCAACGCCACTGTGTTACTGAGGACAAGTGCTTGTTGATTATGAGAAAGGTTAACACATAACTAGTATTTGTGCCGTTGGTAAATGATTTAATAATTTAAAGATAGTGTAAAACCACTGCCCCTCTATATTCAGCGCTGTTACACAAATCCAATATTGTACATAGTTCTGTACTGATATGTATATTTTCAATTTGTTTATTTTTTACCATATATTTAGATACTATGTCCTCCTACATTAGCTTACGCACTAGCTGCAATTCAACTTTGTTCGTACAGCGCTGTTACAGTTTTGTCATTCCCCGATTACTCAAAGTGATGCATGTACTCAAATCATCTGTAGATCAAAGTGTTCTGTCATCATTAACAGTTTCCAAGCTATATCTGGACTGCTCAACAGAGCTCATCTCACTGCCGTAGCCCTAGTTTCTCCGGACAAGTTGGCATTTAGAACCTTGTTTGTAATAAATTGAAGTCTTAAGTAATGGGACATGTAGTCTCCTTTTGTAATACTTTTGTTCAACAGTACATCAGCTTAATTCAATTGTAACCCACGAGGAACGGCTTAATAAATTTTATTTCGATTCCGATTTGACTTGTTAGTATGATAACTCGCTAATAGTTCAATATAGCTGAGAATTTTTGAGCCGTTTTGTATACCTGCTTTGTATTTTACAGTATATTACACTGCAACCGTGCGAACATGTTTTATCAGTGACTTAGATTTCATTAGTATATTAAAGAAATTCTTAAACTCTGATTCACATGTTTACTTAGTACATATTTCAGTGAAATAAAAAGCAAAGTTTCTTACTTTAATGAAACTTTGGTTTAATGAATAATATTTTGAAGAACACATTTAAAGCCTCTAGTTGTATAGAGACAAATGACCAAGAGTAAATATGCTACTATAGGTAATCTCTGATAAGGCAGATAATTCAAACAGAAGTCTAGCATAAGAATTACCTGGGAATCTTTGAGCCCTAGTTTTTCGGCGAGTTTTTTCCGATCAGGTTTGCTGATATATTTCTGCATCTGAAACCTTTTTTCCAAACCTTGTCTCTGGGCATCAGAGAAAACAGCTCGTCTCATCATTCCTCTTCTTGGTTTGCCCCTAGCCGCTGCTGACCAAGGAAAAGGAACCGTTGCTGGAGGTGAAAGTGTCGACTGAGAAGCTCCTAGAGAAAGGGGTAAATTTTGACCCATCATAGTACTGCTGAGATTTTGGTATCCATGGCCAATGTAGGAGCCTGCTGGAAGTGTAAAGATTCAATCAGCTAGATACATCACAGAAATGATAATATCGGTTTATGTAATTTGCATAAATAATATCAGAAAGAAGATTTAAGCAAAATAACGTACAAGATTTCATGAATTTCGTTAATATTTATGCAAACTGTACGCAAAACGATTATTTTTTGTACAGTATGCGTAAATATTTAAAACAAATTCCTGAACTGGATTGTATGTAATAAATATACTTTCATCAAATTGAAATTTTGCATTAGATTATACTCTTCTATTAATAAACTTCACGGAAAAGTTAGGTTGCAAGCGTGAAACTGCATATGGCTGCTTAAGTTACAAGTGTATTTACAGAAGAAATGCATGAAGTTAAATGATCCAGTAAAGCTCGGTGTCGTCTCGAATTTAATGGAGAGTATTCGGAGAATAAATTTAATTAAAGAAGGGGAAAGTAAGCTGGTGTGCTAGAGGTCATAAGGAAAGATATTTTTTAAAAGAAAGTTGTGTTTAAGTCTCGTTGAAAAGAAATATATCAGAAAAAAGTGAAAAAATGTTTCTTCTTAATTTCGCAGAGGGCTTAGTACCAGAGGTGCTTTCAATAAAAAAATCAGAATGAAGCTACAGAGAAAGCTCTCATTTGCTATTTACTGTAAGTCAGTAGTTGCCCAAATGTGTACATGGATGCGCATGGCACCAGAATAGAGACAAGCTGTAGGACGGAAAAAAGTTTTGAAGTGCTCTGTTTCTTTTATGTATTATTAAACAATTTCGATAATTAGACTAGAAGAGAAACACGCTAATGTGACAATCAAAATCGTAAAAACAACCTTGTATTTAGCGTAAGTATAATGAAACACTCAATCGATTTCGAGGGCAGCTAAAGGTCCCTCCTCATCAGGAGAAAGAAAAAGGTATTTCTTTCAAGGTTGTTTTTACGAATTTGATAATTACGATAATATTAGCATGCACTTCTTTGGATTATTAATAAGATGTATCTACTTATAATTGCGAAAAAAATTATAATTATCAGATGATTTTATTACTTATACCTATTTGTCTATTAGCTTTCATTATTACATTATTTTCGACCATGTTGTTACCTGAGCAATATATACATATAGGTCACGAGGCTGAAAAGCGTACGAAACACTGCTATAAACAAATATTCCGAGCCAATTCAAGTTGAACTGAACTACTTAGTACAATAATTGTTTATGAAAAGTATCTTAGTTTTTAAAAGGCTTCGAATCATCTAACGGAAAATGAATTATTTAATCATGCTAAGAAGAAGGAGGGTTTTGTGTTTGTTTAACTAAATATGGAGAAACATATGAGGGCTTTTGGAAAATAGGCTTATGCCTACATTACTCCTAAGGAAAACCCTTAAAATGCTTACACTCAGTGGTAAGCTGTAGTTGGTGCTCTGGTGATTCCTTTGTTTAAATTTGCCTCTAATTCCCAAGCTCCTTGTTCTTTTTGTTTTCTATTTTATTTATCTCAAAAAGAAGAACACATGTTACTAACTGAACTTCGTACGTTAGTCTAAAGACCTCTAAATCCGATGACCACTATTTCTGCGACAAAAGAACAAAAATTTGTAATACATTGTTTATGTAAATTTAAATTTTATTTTTCAAAAATATTTTCTTATTCGTTCCCAGTTATTTGTATTTCCCTCTTTTCTAAGAGGTGAGATATTTAATTTTACTTTGTTTTCTTAAGGCAAAGTACGAGCCCTTTGTTAAAATTTCCATAACTTACTGTAGCTTGCACAGCCAGCATTTGATGGGGATTGAAAGTGGGAATGAATTGTCAGGTTAATCATTCCATTCATTGGTCTCATCGACCTGAATATAATGAGCACGAGTAAAGAGGCAAATATGTTTTGTAAATATAAAAGCATAATAAACGCTTTTCTAAATAATAATTTTAAATATAATTTTGATGGCTGTTTGAAGCTCATTTTAAAAGATTTATTAATTATCAATACACCCATTGCAAATTACAAAGGGAATAACATATGTGTGTCAGTAATTACGAAAATAAGTATTTCTTATGTATGCAAAACAGCTTGAGAAAATATTTAAAAAGTATATTTAAATATTTTTCTTCAAATAAATATTAGAGACCATGGAGGTAAGAAAGGAAGGAGGGATTAAACTGTCATTATAAGTTAAGCACTTCTCTAAGGCTTCGGTCTCCAGATGGGGTGTGTTTTGTTTACTTACATTCAGAAGTTCGCTTGACAGAGCTCTGATACTATTTCGACATACGGTAGTTCCATACAAATCAAAAAATAGAACACTTCCGCATAAAAAAAACATTCATAGTGAGATGGATAACAACAATTAAAATAATTAATTGGATGAAAATAATTTGCACAATTTTAAAAAATCAAGTCCCAATTTCACTTTTTGTTTAATAAACAGATGCAAGTTATGCAACTCAATTAATGCTTTTTGATCTCTCTTTTCTTTTAATCTGTATTTGTTTTACATAAAGTATTTCAGCCAAATAGGATTTCCTTCTAAAATGAGTACAAACATCACAGAAATAAAAACAGTGGCTAAATAGTAGTTTTGAAACAGATTTTGTTGTGGCTTTTCCGAAGCTTTATTATATTAATTAGTTATTCCCTGTTTTAGGCATCTTTATATTACTCTGCCTTCTGCTGTGTATCGCCTTCTGCTGTGCCTTCTGCTGTGTATTCTGCCTTCTGCTGTGTATCGAGCCCTAGAACTACCAACTTACCTTCCAGTCTTTTCAGATATGACCGAACATTCTTAATGAAGAACCTTCGTTAACAGTCTCATCATTTAAAATTATGGAAGTAAGAAAGGAAGGAGGGGCAACTCCGCACTAGGAGTGAAGCACTGCTATGAGGCTTCGGTTTCCAGATGGGGTGCTTTTTGTTTACATTCAAAAGCTCCCTTGACAGCGCTTTGATAGTATCTCGACACACGGCAATTCCATATAAATCGAGAAACGGGGCACTTCAGCATAACAGAAACATTCATTGCGTGATAGATAATAGCAATTTGTATAGTTAGTGACATTTACGCAAAAATCCCACCTTGTTTATTTTTCGATAACTAACAACAGCGATTTTGATTATGAATTTGTTTTATAAAATTCGAAGCTGCTGAACTACAAAAAAATAAATTTTAGTAAAAATATTATGTTTGAAGAATGAAAAAGTGCCTTACGGTACCTTTAAATTGTATGCGTCTTTCAATACCCTTGATCGAGTATTCGCTACTTTTTTTTTTATGTTCCAAACGCCAAAATGTTTGAAATAAAATAATTTTTTTTTTCATCCACATATTATTGTAACGTGTACTTTTTAAAGATTTTTAGAGGAGAGGCTTTATAGTTGCTCATTTTAAACTCATCATTTTATTTTTATATAACTGAAAAAAAATCACTTTGGGCTTACACGTTTTACTTATTTGGGTTAATTAAAAAATAAAATTATCACCAAATGCTGCAATCCTCGTCAAAATTAATAAATATACACACAGATATGCGAATAGCTTAACTTTTACTTGATTTGTAACCACACATTTGTGTTAAATTATGTACAGTTTTACACAAATGCGTGGAACAGAAAACGGATACATTTGCGAATTCGGCTAATGAAGCAATATGATACAGAGTAAGGCAATCAAGATTGCGATCTGATGACAATGCGATTAAAGTTTAAATGTGAAATGGGTAGTTATTATATTATCAGAGAACACTTAAACTGTGTAAAAACGCTAAAAGAGTTATTGAGTGCTCTGCCTAAGTATATTTGCTAGAAGATTTGAATTTGATAATGAATGTATCCTAAAACGTGTTTTAAGTCAAAAGTTTGAAATTGGATGGCTAAATGTAAATATAAAATTATGCATGTTAAAATATTTGTAATTAGGCACATAGGTCAGGTTAAGGTTTCATTAAATATAGTAAGGCATGCAAGGGTTATCTGCCTAAAGGGAGAGAAGCCATTGGGGAGAGGAATTTCGAAGAAGAACTTACCTTTGAGTGGGTATTAAAAATAATGCGTGTAATTTTCCTTCAAATTATATTTATACATATTTATTATGTAAAAGGGTATATGCTATATTATTGTAAATTACTTTATTCGAAAAAAATAGCGAATGCACAGAAATTAAAGATTTGCACATGCCGAAAATGAAAAATATGAAATATGTGTGGATATTTATGCATATGCTTGCAAAAAGCATCCATCTGCTTTCAACAAAATACGTAAATATTTATTAAATTATTTGTAAATGTATTTGAAATGAAGGATTTATTCATTCATAAACATACTCATTCATTCATTCATACTGATGTGAAAGTTACTGTGAAGAAATTTAATTATTAAATGTATCTAAATTTATAATGATTGTATGAGATAAGTAAGTAAGAAAGAAGAGTTTTAGGATATATATTGTTGAAATTAAGGGTTAAAAAAATCTGATAAGTATAATTAAAAGAATTATTTCCTTACATCTTATAATAACTCAGTTACAAATTTTAAAAAATATTTTTAAAAACATCTTTTTTTTTTTTATTCCCTTTCATAACTATTCAGAGAATGTTAAGTACTATTTAACGTATTTCACTATTAAAATGTAAGGTACTCTAATTTGAAATGGACCGAATAAAACATTAATTATAAGTTGACTTGGATTTTTCCATTTTAAAGATGCCTCAAAAGCTAAAAAATCATGTCATATTTGAGAAAGTATTTTAGGAAGAAGCTCTATAAATAAAAAAGAAATAATGCATAATTTTAATATTAATAATACACTAAACTGTTATCTTAATTTTCGTAATCCTTAACCGAATAATATCGAATTCCCTTAATTTTTTTTTGTAATTAACGAAAACTTGGGAAAATATTTTATTCAACTGAGCTAACAATTCTGTGAAGAGTATAGCATTTAATTCCGTTCAGAATTAAACGTTGTTTAAAAATGTATTCTTTTTATATACAGTGGTGGCCAAAATTGTGGAT